GAACTGCATGGAGGAAAATTCAATGACTTTTCCAGCACTTTTTCCATGACTTTTCCAGGCCTGTAAAACTAAATTTCTTTATTCCATGGCTTTTCCAGGATTTTTATGACTGTACAAACCCTGCTTATTATATCCTGTAGCTTATTATTTGGTATTTTATGGAAAGCAATTCAAACTGTCTGAGATCTTAGGTTAGCAGTGAGGAATGGAAGACTGGACCTGTCAGCTGGTCCTGAGAGTTTAAGAGATTAATTATTCAGTAATGAACTATCTCACTCCTCAGTAGTAAGCCAACTAAGAGGATCTATTTATCCCTTTTTTGGAAAAACACAACTGGTAACCAAACAAAAGATACCTTATAGAGTGAAAAACAAAGTAGATAATCATACCAACACATTTCATTCTTAGTTGTGTCAAATCGTGTTTATTGATTAAATATGTTAATTTTACATTTATAGGCTGAGCAGTCTGTCTCCTTTTTTGGGTGATGACGATAATGAGACACTGAATAACATCCTGGAGTGCAAGTGGAGCTTTGAAGAGGCAGAGTTTGCAGATATCTCTGACGAGGCCAAAGACTTCATCACACGCCTGCTTGTTAAGAGCAAGAGGTACGGTGTGTATGTATGTAAGCCATTATAGAAATGAATGAGTTATTAACTATTTTTCATTATTGCATATAAAATAATATGATTGAGGTGGCTGGGGCCCTCCATATGAAATGTGGCATATGTTCAGAAACAGTCCTGACTAAGACACTAAATTAAATTAAAATCTTTTGAAAAACGGTCTGTATAGAACCATCTACAACATATACTCCATCAATCCAAAGAACAATTTCATGATGCAAAGAACCCCTTAAGCATCCTAATGATTCTTTGAGTGTTCATGATTCTATATAGAACCATTATCGTTACTAAATACCTCTTGAGGAACCATCTTTTTTATTAATATATTAGATGCTGCACCTCTAATAAGAGCAATGGTTCATTTGACATGAGTGTTTATGTCCTGTAGTTGGAGGATGAGTGCATCACAGTCATTGAAACATCCCTGGCTTTCGGACCGGGCACTTCACTACCGTCTACACCAGAAAGTGAGTAATTCCTTGCTAACAAATGCATTACTTCATAGCATGGGCTATGCTGATGAATGTGTTTTTGCTGCAGAAGAACAAGTGCCACTCTACCCGTGCTCCTGTACCAGAGAGCTGAACAGGTAACACTCCACCCCTTAATCCCCCAAACACACCTTGCCATACTCCTTATTATCTATGCAGAGCAGACACATTCTTTTGACTTCTCTTTAGTATTGTATTACACCTCGCCCACACTTGTGGCATTTGTGGCATTTTTGTGGCTTTTTTTTTCTTTTTTATAGAAGGTGTCTTTTACCCTCCTGGAGTCATGATGTCAAACTGGACCAACAACTTCATATCTGAATGGCCACCCAGCTGCTATGCAACCATGAATACCTATTACACAACTACTACATATGCAGACTACAGTACTAGTGCAACATAAAACATGCTTAACACCTATGAGTCAGCACATCAGCTCAATCCAGGCTATACTATGTATATAATATAGAGCCTAGAACCCTAAATATTGGGCAAAAATTCCTTCTGCAGCTATGTATTATTACTTGATAAACAAGAAATGTATAGCTTTTTGAGTGCTCCACTTCATCTGCCATATGCTTCATTTGCAATACGCACAATTCTATTGCAATACATAAGTTATCATTTATTTATCAAGTCTTATTAATGTTACACTGAATATTCTATTTATTTTGTTGATTCATAAGAGCATATAAAAAGTCGAACATGTTGTTTTTACTATATCAGTATATGGCTTTTGAAAATAAACACAGAACAATGTACTGTAATTTTCACTTGAATATCTTTTTATCGCCAAAATCCCACCAGTTAAACTATGCGCTGCTGCCAGTTCAGTTATTCTTGGCTGAAAGCCATCTAATCAAGAGGTTTGTCCATACCAGTCAAAAGTTTGGACCTGAAAATGCATTTTTCATCAAAGACATTTTGATATAAATGCACACATTTCAAAAACAAATATAAATAGCAAATAAGCAGGAGGAAAAAGAATCTAAAATAGAACATATTTAATAATTTTGATAAGTTGAATGCTCTGCATGATTCCGTATGTGTTATTTTATATGTTTGATGTTTTTACTATTATTCTTAAATCTGGAAAATAGTGGAAAGACAAGGAAAACGCATCTACTAACACATGTCCAAACTTTTGACTGACACTGTATGCCAAAACAAATTGGTTTTAATGGCTTTCTCAACCGAGAGAGTCATCTAACGCTCCTTGTCTTGTAAATATGTTTGGATCATTTTCACATGTCAGAAATCCAGCACACAAGTTTGCTTTTCTACGTGATAGATATACATAAGTTCAAGTGTAGATAAGGACAAGGCCTTTTTATATCTGTTTACATCCTATTTTCTTCAATATCGAACACACTGTCTACATATCCACTGGTCTAAGTCCCATGTGGATGCTGATCTGAGAATTTCTCTACTTCAATATAATATTCAAATGTGAATATTAGAGTAAAGTGTGTTAGATTAGGCTTTAATCTGAACTCTTGTGGGGGTAGATCTCCAGGCACAGATCTCCTGAGATAAAATAATAATCTATTTTTCAACATAATCTTTATCCACTACATCTGTACTGCTGATTACTATAGACAATGATTTTGATGCATTTCCCTGTTTTTAGAAAAGAACCAAAACCCATTGGCTTGCAGCTTACTTTCTCTGAATAATCATTTAATACATTTAACTATAGCATGAATTTGAAACCACAACTTATATGAGACTACAGATTTGTGTGAGAAAGACTTATTGGTCTTGTTAAGTGAATTCTAAGACTTCCTGTTACATTTAGTTTGTATTATGTAGTGGGTAACACTGTTGCCCTCCACATGGCAGACCAGGGCTCCATTCTTTACCTCTATAGAAATAAAACTCCTTGGGCAAGACTCCTAATGCTACATTAGCCTACCTCTGTAACATAATGCGAGTGGCTCAGGATGAGAGAGTCTGTCAAATGCCATAAATGTATTCACTAAGGTTTCTGGTGTACATGTAAGATCAAAGTCATCTAATATATAAGTTATGCATAATATGAGTTTTGCATAAAAGTGTGTTTTAGTTCTGGCAAACCCAACAAAATTATTGCCTGTACACTACAGATGTGGCAGATGGAGATTAAGTTGAAAATCGCTGGAGTATTCATTTAATGTAATCTGAGACTGGAATGCTGCTGCAAGCTCTTTGACCTAAAACCGCTTTCACACTCTCACCTTCCATGAAGGCAAACCCATCAACAGAACACTACCTATGTTTTAAATGTTAGTTAGAGCTATTCATTCTTTCTGGTCTGTATCCAAAATGTACTTGAAAAGCAAAGTTTTGTAAATGTACATCTCTGAGACTATTGCTATATTACAGTATTAAGACACCTGTTGAGTTTACTCAACATGTTTTTGTTTTTTGTCATAACCATACAGACGAGTTATGTTTTGTTCTTACAATGTTCTATGTAGTTCATTTCTTTTTCTGACTATAGCTTTTTTTTGTCACACACTTCTTTTATTCTGTTTGGTTTGATGTATTGTGGAATACAACAAATTAATGTACGCTAACTAAATAAACAGAAAAAAAAACAATAACAAAGGAGTCTTTTGGGAGTATGTTGTTTTCATGAATTAAAAGTAATGCAACAGCCGAAATAAATTCGTGATAAGTGCTTAGTAAAGTTATTTTGTCACTTAGTGTTTAGTTTCAGTAAATAAATTGAGATGCACCACTAATCCTTCATTCAAAATTTTATTTGCTAATAGCCTAAAAACCTATGCATTGTTTTGATTTTTTGCATGTTATGGAAAGTGTATAAAATGTGTGCATATTTAGATTTTTGAAACTGATATACATATCTATAGCCTTAATTGTTGTTATTTTGTTATTTATCCATTTTAACATTTCCTCACCCAGGCCTAAACACTATTTCAGTTAACTCCCTTTTTTCAGGTTCCAAATATTCATTTGGATGTTGTTGGTTCGGCCACAAGTCATAATTTTATTTATTTATTTATTTATTTTTGCTGTTGTTTGCTTTTTAGTTTTATTTGGTGCACTTTACACGTGTTTCCATGCAACATATGTAGTAAATAGGTAATAAATAGGTCTCCTTTCAGGACTGTCAGGTTAAGGTTAAAACACTATTTAAGAGCAAACAAGCTATGTCATGTTTGTAGCAGCAGTACTCAATATCAGTCATTAACTTTATTAATGATAACTTATTAACTGCATGAATGCAAGCTTAATTATCACTTAATACTGACATATCTGGAGTATGATATTTAGTTTTATGAACACCGTCCAGCCTAAGCGCAACTCGTTTTGGCTTAGAAAACGCTGACGTTATTGCAAGCATTTGTCCGAACTTACACATTGCTGGCGAATCCGCGAGCCACGAACGAGAACGGCGAGTCAAACTGCCTGAACCTGCCTGAGGAGCTACCAGAGAAAGGGATACATCACGTTTGTACGCATAGATCTGTGTAATTGCATTTCTACATTAGTGAATTGGCACCAACAGCAAAATAAGAAATATTGTAAATCCGTTGCTATGTTAAAGCTTTTCAATTTTATTTAAATCCCAATGGTATTCTTTTTTGTTCCTGATTTTCTTTCTTCTTTCCTTTTTATTTTTTTATTTTGTTTATTCTGGGATGTGAAGACTGTAATGCATATATGGTTATATGCTTGAAATTAAAAAAATATATAATAATAATAAATTTAAAAAAAAACAAGAAAGGGGTTCGTTCTCCTCTGTATGTCTGTGTCCTGTAGTCGGCGCTGTGTGATTTGGACGAGATAAAGTAACATCATAGTTCTCTCTTCCGCCATATTTTTGTCTCCGCGTCACCGTAGTGCGTCACCGGCATCCTCCTCGCTGATTGGCCGCTTGCAGCGGTTGTCTGATGTGTCCCTCGCGCAGCTGTGAAGTTTTAGCACGCGCATCTGTTGACGGCGAAAGAAGCTTAGATCCCAGCAGAGCAGCACCGAAACCCCGCCGGTAGAGACCATGGCTGAAACCGCCGCCAAACCTGCAGCCTGTACCGCCAACGGCGAAGCGACGAAGACCAGAAAGGTCGCCATCATCACCGGCATCACTGGGCAGGTGAGCAGTGTTGGTTTAGCCCCAGTCACACCGTCAGGAAACCAGGAAATGAGGCAGTGTTATCATCACCATCTCTGACTCCTGACATGATTTGTAACTGCCTTTATGAATAACAAAACTCCTAACCTATTTCTGGATGTGAATGAATTCGTGTTTTTTGGTAACCTAGCTAGCTAGTCCACACCACCGCCCCCAGTCAGTTCACCATCTTCTCTTTCTGGAAGTTTTACAGTAATTTTTTAACATTATAACTTTACGGTGGATTGTCTCGTGGATCTTTCCTCTGTTTGACTTTGTAAACGTGAACAGTTTTTATCGTATTTGTATTGTAGTGTACGGTGCAGGATGCGCCCCCTTTCTGATTCCTTTGAGCCTTCATTGTTCATCTCAGTGCTACTTCGTCATATCAGGAAAACATTTTCCTGACTTAACTGGATCCTTAAAGGGCCTGGACCCATATTTCTATGGGGAAGCTCTTTGACTGCCTGTTATAAAAGCTCTAGAATGAAATGAAACTGGATTCAATAGAAATTGAATTGAAGCTGGTCATGTCTGCATCAGCGCACAGTGCAACCGTTAAAAAGGAAACATTCCAAAAATACTCGTCCTTATGCTGTATAATCAACGGTCGTGTTTGACTCGGGGAAGATTCGGCTCGGTTCGCCGGTTCAGTTTATGCTCTCTGTGTGCGGTGTCTTGCTGTAATCTCTTGAATATTTCTTCACGATCTGCCACTTTGAACCAGAGCTCATCAGCCTGACGTGGAGATTCGAGAGCAGGAAGGAAAGCAGTTTACCAGTTTATCTCGTTTGAATGTCCGGTTTCTCTGGAGCAGATCTGGGTGTGTAACTGTAAGCATATAGCGTTTACAATGGTGCCTTTACAGTACAAGTTAAGTAAAACGACTTTTGTCATTTATAAAGCAAAAAGTGTATCATACTAGATTTGAATTGGTGGCTTTACATTCTACTCTGACACTGTGATGTTTTGTTGTTAAAATGTTTTAAAATTAATTATATCTTTCATTCACTTACACACTTTTGTGAGGAAAAGTGTCATTTCTAGTCATCCACCCAATTCTTGATTTTAATATCACTCCATTCTGCTGTTCATAGCATCCACATTGCTTTGCTGTTGCTTGTTGCACGTTTTTGGCTTTAGCATTTTATGCAAGACCAACAGAGGATACCAAAACAGGACAAACAGGGACTAAAAAACGCTCATTCATATTTGCGTCATTATTTCATTTTTAGGCTCCTGTACCCACTAAACCTGTTTGACTTGACCAGACCGCCTGGCTGTGTCCTCATTGTCTACTGAGGTGTGGTTGTGCTAACGATATGGAAGCAACATTTAGAGGGGGTTACTCAACTCTTTGTTGCACAATGGTGAATTAGGTGCACCTTGCTCTTCATAGTAACTGAAAGCCTTTTAGTAGTTCTCATACATCAGAGAACAGAAAGTTGGGAGTGCCAGTTTTAGCCTTCAAGTGGCCCTAAGCACTCTTCTGTTTAGGGAGGGGACTTACTGGAGAGATGAAACACCATCATTTTAAGAAATATTCCCTCATTTGGTGTTTTAAGCTTTTTCATTAAACCTTTTTTTTATTCTTAGCCTGCTTCATTTCAAAGCCTTCTTAAGACCATTTGCCACTGCAATAAAGCAGTACTAACCACAGGTTTAGGAGCGGAGATTGGTGTAATGTTGACTCAGCTCCTCTCTGTGTTTGACTAAGTACTTTGAACCTCTAAAATCCTTACATTTTATAAACTGTGTACTTGTGCACCTGATTAATAAGCCACCATTTTAATAGGTCATCTATCACTGCAGATTTGACAGCAGAGAATAGGAGTGGTCAAAGTAGGCCACCAATCAGATTATATTCTCCAGAAATTCAGAATTATGACTTGTGCCGTTTTAATGGCTCATGAAATTGGGAAAGATTCTATACGGTATAATATTGCAATATTATGGCTTTTAGAATAGTATGGTAACACGGAATTATTAATATGTAATAATAATAATTCTGTGTTGCTTCCCTAATAAGGCTGACCTGAAATTAACGTATGTAAATTTAGCAAATAGAACAGTTTTTTTGGAGATATAATATGCTATCAAAAGTAATAAATCACAATATATCAAAGTACTTAATATATCACAAATCTTTAGTTAACTCTATTGTGGCTCAGGTATCCTGATAAGATCATATCATGAGACCTGTAGCGATTCCTACCTCCTAGACAGCAATCCTTCCTTTGGTGCTCTGGTCAGATTGATGTGTAGGCTACTCTATGACCCAGTATCCCGTGCTTTAAAGGAGTGGTTCTCCACCTTGGTCGTGGAGTACTCCTGTCCTGCAGATAACCTAATCAACTAATTAAGAAGTCTTTCCCAAATTGAAGTAGGTTTGTTACAGGGGGAAGACCTTTAAGCACCCAAAGTTTGCATACACCAGCCCACAATCTAGTCCAGCGAAATGACCATAGAGCAACAGCAATAAAAATGGCTATGTGCAGAAATCTACCATCCCAGGCTATGAAGGCACTTTTTTCAAGGATATGAATTGTCAGTGGGCATGGTTGATGTTCATCTTTAAACAGGGCTAAAGTTGGCTTCCTGATCATCTGCTTCTTAATCGAATATTCTGTTCCACCTTAAATGCTACTGTTTGTGTAGGAGCTAGCATGTTACTGCTGGAACATTTAAGGTGGAATGGAAAATTTGCAAAACAAGCTGGCAAATAGGAAGCTGCCTTTAGCTCCCACATCTTTAGCCATCTTTAATGGGATCCTGGATAACTTTAATTCAAAGTTGCTGGTTTGCTCTGCATATTTCACTCTGGACGGGTTTCTCACAGGCTTCGTTTAGCCTTTGTTACTGAAAAGAGGGGCAGTTTCAACTTAATTTGCATCATGACCCTAACAGCAACCTGTAAATAGCTAGTCATGCTGTGTGATTTTATACATTTTTTTGACTGTTGAAGCCAAATCATCTTAAATTGTGAGTTTCGAAGTGAGCTAACAACTTTACTTTGTGTTGTTGTTGAGATCGAATGCATAGCTAACTAAGTAGTGTGATGATCTAGCTTATTTACACAGAGGTTAATTTTATTTTTCTGTGTCTGTTTTGACATGTCACTTCTATGTGTGTTGTAATGGTGCCTTTCTATAAACAAGCAAATTAATTTGTGAGCACACCAAAAAAGGGATGTGATGATGTAAAGTACCCCTTTACACATCACAATATAAAGTTTGATTGTAAACACTTACCTGTACTTACCTGAAGACTGATTATCCTTGCTTTAGGGAGCAAAGAGAACTGAATGGGTTCACCTGTGATTTACTTACCTGGGTGAGTCCATCCTCTGTAGAGGAGGAGGGAAGGACAAAAAAGAAGAGCAAGAAGAGTAAATTGGTTAAGAAGTGTACACTGTGTTGGAAATATGTATTAGTGACATCATGAATGTAAAGGTGATTAGTAAGGAAGCACATGAATTATTTACTGTCGCATGTAAATATATATTTAGATATATGAAGCACTTGTTTTTAACCCAGGCCAGTAATGGTATATTCTAGGGGAGGAGCACCCCAAATATAAGCAGCATTACTGAGGGGTACAGGAAAATCCCTTCTTTCAGCTTGGTGGAAGATGGTGACCTATATGACTTTGCAGTCATTGGCTAGTCTCATAGCTGTAGAGACCATTTTTGTTTTGTCTTCATCTTGTTTTCTGTAAATATGTAAATAATCCTGAGTGTTGGTGTGTAAATAAAGGTGACGGGGAGAAGAACTCTTGAACCAGCTGTATTCATTCCAGTTACTTGGACCTCTTGCCTGACGCTACCCATAAGGTGCGTTCCCTGCCACAGCGTACTGCCGGGTCGAGGGACGCACTTTATCACAAAGGAAAACAGCTTGTTTTGTTCTAGGGCCAAATCATAGGGTTGTTAATGGGCGTGTAAAACCGCATCTGGGCATTTCACAACCCGACCAAAGACACATGCTATTTATGTTGGCATCAGAGAAAAATTTAAAATAAAGGATAAATACATTCTATAGCACCTTTTTAAAAAGGTGTAGGACAGGGGGGCTCTAGGACAAGGGTTAAGAACCACTGAAGAAAACTATATCAGTTTGTGCCCAACATGTTAGCATGGTTCTGGTTTAGTCTCATCACCATGTTCACAATCTGTAGCACCAATAAAGTAACAGTCCACTCCATACAGCTGACACTTTTACACTGGACCTAATAGCAGCCTGTAGATGCTAGTCAATTGAACAAGGCTTCTGTCATTGTATGTAACATCCCGCTCTCCTGCTAGGCCACCCCCCAGCCACCAGAGGGAGACAGAGAACTGAGCCAGGCTGATTAGGGCTGGCTGTTGTCAGCTGTTCACCACCTTATTTAAGGACAGTTCACATGCAGCTCTCAGCTCAGTCCTAAGTTCACATGGCCATGTGCAAGTGCTCTTGACTAAGCCGGTAACCTCCTAAAGTATTTTTTGTTTTTCATTCTTGTGATGTTTTAAGTTAGGTTTCCACGGGTTAACCTTGGGTTTCCATGTTGTCAGTCTCTCTTCAGTGGCGTGCCAGTTTGCACTCTGGCTCTTCAGCACGGAAGTCAGTGGTTCGATTCAACCTCTGACTTTGAGCTCTCTAGAGCTTTCCGTTTCTCCTTTGAGTTAATTATTGTCTCGAGTCCTCTGTTCACCCCGAGAGCCTATACTGCTCTGCACTTGAGTCCACTCCTGTGCTTGGTCGGTGGCTTACCACATAGCGATTCCCACGCGGGGTAAGCCAGCCACAATGGTACATTGTATATGAAACATGATGTTTAAATGGCAATATAATACACACACACACACACACACACATCATCTAAACCGCTTTTCCTTCTGGGTCGCGGTGGGGTGCTGGAGACTATCCCAGCTGTCATTGGGCGGAAAGCAGGATACACCCTGGACAGGTCGCCAGTCCATCGCAGTGCAGACAGACAGACAG